TCTGCTCTAGGAGGATGCAGAACCCCTGACATCTGTCTGAACAGTGCTGATTAGCCCTGTGCTGATCATATGTACTCTCCAAAGAAAAAAAAAAAAACCTCTCTAGCAATACACATCAAACTGAGCATGTACATGCCTACGATTCAGTCTTGAGATAAGTGGTGGTCGCTTGAAAAAGGGTAGGAACAGAGAAGAAAGGATCAAACAGCTTTTTCACACAATGCAGAGGATTAACCCCTTAGTTTCCACAGTGACTATAACAAGCATGCTTTACTGCATATACAGACTGATTTACTGTTGTGGGTTTAGTAACACTTTAAGTTAACAACACCCCCCAAATCGGTTCGCAGAACATGGTGTGATGTGCAGAATCGGATCGCATGGGTGTGAATACAAAAAAAAAGGGTCTTGCGCTATTTTGGTGTGGATGCGGCGTGATCTGAGCCATATAAAATGTATGTGATTTGCACAGGAATGCAGAATCACATGCGATGTGCCGCACGGCATCAGTGTGAACCCGGGCTAAAAGAGGAGAAAAGGAAGGAGGAAGAAATTACCTATACAATATATAAATAATACATACCTACAGTTTTTTGTTATTTGTTTATTTCACATTTGTAAGTTCAGACCAAACAAAATACAATGTAACAATATTGTTACATTGTACAGTATTTATTAACCAGTTCCCGTCCAGCCTATAGCAATTTAGTGCCCTCCCGCCACGAGCCTCACGTGCAGCCATGCCACCAGACACAGCCAATGACTGATAAGTGTTACGACCCGCTGCCAGTACCATGTGATCGCTGTGACCAATCACAGCAGACCAGATGACAATTGTAAACAATGAATGGCTTTGAGTCATGCCATTCACTGCCACAATTCAGTTGTTAGCTGTGATTGGTCACAGTGATCACATGGTACAGATAGGACCAATCACACCTAACCACAACAATACAAACTGAATGAATCGATTTCATTCAGTAAAATGCTTCCTTTTAGCAGGGAATCCCTGCTATAAGCAATCATAATGTGTACAAAAAGAAAAACCTGATCACTTCCCCAGAGTAGTGTTATTATGGTAACATTAGATTACTCTGCTCACTGTGTTTAAAAAAATCATAAAAAGAAAAAATAATAAAAACTAAAAAAAAAAAAATACAAAAAAATGATTACACTTTTTTTTGTACTGCACCAAAAAAATAAAATTAATTTCTTAATTTTCCAAAAAACTTACAACTTCAAAAAACTCACCATGCCTCTTACTAAATACTTTGGACTATCTGCTTTCCAAAAACAAAAAAGGGTAATTTGGGGGATATCTGTACTGTCCTGACATTTTTGGGCCTCAAGAAATGAGATAGGGATAGGCCATCGGTGCATCAGGACTGATTGATTTTCAGATTTATATACCATAGTTTGCAGACTCTATAATGTTCCCACAGACTAAGTAATATACAGTGATTTGGGTTATTTTCAGTACATTTTGGCCTAAATTTATGAAGAAATATTATTTATTTGCAAAATCTTATAACAGAAACAAAGAAAATCTCTTTTTATCCAAATTTGTGGTCTTTTTTCATTTATTTAGCAAAAAAAAAAACAGTAGTGATTAAATACCGCCAAAAGAAAGCTCTATTTGTGTGAACAAAATGATAAAAATTTGGTTACAGTGTTGCATGACCGCACAATTGTCATTCAAACTGTGAGAGCGCTGAAAGCTGAAAATTGGCCTGGGCACGAAGGGGTAAAAGCTCCCAGTATTGAAGTGGTTAAGAAGTAACTCCACTTTTGTTGAGAAAAAATAGTTCCCCTCTGGGTGATCTCTGTACATTGCAGGGATTGTAACAAACTTTGTTGCAGATTTCTACCTTTTGTCATTCTGTAGTAATTGCTGTTTGTTTGTCTGTGTCCATGTGCAGAGGGAATCTGGATAGGAGTGGTTTTATAATTATCAATCAGCTGCTATACTTGCAGGGTTCTAATGAGGAAAGTGGCAGGGTCTGCATCCCTTTAGACGTGATTTCCCCTTGGGAGTATTTTACCAAAGTTGACATTTTTGCTGCAGAGGATACCTGAAATATGACTTGTATCTTAGTGCAGACTTCTGGGAAAATCAGTAAACCAATCACACAGGCAGGTAATTATGTTTCTGAGGGGTGTTGTATACAATCTGTGTACAGAACACCTCCAGGGAGCCATATTGCATTTTACAGAAAATTACAGCATTGCAGATTGAAAAGGAAAGGTCATTTTTAATAACATTTAATTACAATATGACTTGTGTTGCGATTTTATATTCAATATTTTTTTTATTTGCTATGTTTTTCCTACAAAAGTGAAGTTACCCTTTAATGAAGCCTGTGACCAGTGATTGCAAATTGAGGCTAGGTGCACACTTTGTGCATGCACATGCGGTTCGACAGGTTTCCTTGTGTTTCCATGCGTGGCATGTAGGGTAGCCCATTCATTTCAATGGACTGCCCTACGTATGTGCAACTCTCACCCTTTTGAGAAATCATGCTGCACCAAAATGGATGGTGCTACGGCACCATGTGCTTTGGCATGCAGCAAAAAACACGCGCGCTCCCAGATGCGTGGTAGTGCCATGAAAAATTAGGCTGCATTCAAACCTTTACATTTCCTAACCACGCAACAAAACGTACAAGAACACGCAAAAAACATGCAGCAAATGTGCGTCACACTTGTGACGCCATTAATTGTTAATGGCACCTGAAACGCAGTCAGAAGAAGCACTACAAAAGTGGCAAAATACACAACGAAAAAACACGCGAAGCTCGACTTTCAAAAATAGCTTGGAAGCGTCTTTGGCGCATTCGTTGTGAATAGGGCAGCCCATTCAAGTGAATAGGTTTCCCTATGCACAACACACAGAAATGCGCAAAAATCACATACAAAAATGTGAGTGGGAGCGCTGGTTCCTGATACGTGAAGTGTGAATGTGGCCTTAGGCTAGGTACATACTTTGTGCGTGCCCAAGTGGTTCTGCGTGTTTCTGTGCGTTGCATGTAAGGTAGCCTATTAATTTTAGGAGCCTGCCCTATACACAAGAATCATTCAGAAGACGTCCCTGACCCTTTTGAGAAATCTTACCAAAACGCATGGTGCTGCTGCACCATTCCTCTAGGCGTGTGCAAAAAATATGCGTGGTGTTGCCATTAAAACTTAGGCTAGGTTTACCCTTTGCTTTGGTGGCAAATTTTGGTTTATTTCCTTTATGTTCACCTGGTGATCCTGCCAGTTACACACTTCCTGTCCTGGGGTGACAATGCTCACTCACCTACAGAGGAAGGCCTGGAGCTGGAGGCAAAGCTTAAGTGAAAGGCCGACATGACTAGGCTTGCAGTAGGATGTGCCAAGTGAAGGGTTAATATTACAATTTGTCTAAAGTTGCAGGAGCTAACCTGGTTGGAGAGAGAAGAGGTGGAGTAGGGTGGACAGAGTGGGATCAAGCTGGAGTAGAAGGGGTGGTGACCTTTGCGGTCAGTTGGAGAGGTGACTGGACAGTGAGGGATGAGCTTTCCTGCCTCCCCTCTCTACGTTTATGTGAAGTTTGGCCCATTTCTTTGTTGGTTTCTTCTTTTGCCAAGTTTCCTTTAGGTGTGGACTGGGTGGACTGACAACTCATGGGGCCCCCAGGCAATAGGGGATCATGGGGCCCCCAGGCAATAGGGGATCATGGGGCCCCTGTATCCTTGCCTAAACTCAAAAAAGCCTATGAAAAAGGTACCAGGGGCATCTCATGGGGCCCCTGCTGGCCCTCGGGCAGTGCCCGAGTTTCCAAATGGTCAGTCCGCCCCTGGGTATCGTTCTTGCTGTGGTTCTGTATTGAGAATGGTGCTCTTTGGAATTTGTCATAGCAGGTGGCAGGGGTTGCAGGGTCTTCGAAGGCGTTAGATGTTTGGTAAATTTGGAAAATAGTTGGGTTGGGCTCATCACAGGTATGGGTGTACCTTCCTTATTTAAGCTAAGGCATTAAGGTACTAATGGTTGTGGGGCTGTATTGAGGATGGATTGATTGTTTAATTGTCCTCGAGCCGGTGTAGTTGTGGCTGAGGGCCTTTAGGTGAAATTGTAGGAGATACAGCCGGTTGGTATACATAAAGGTGCCTTCCCAGACCCTAGACCTAAAAGAGGTCAGTCTTTGGATGGTTGTAATAATTTCTATAATGAAAAATTTTGAAAAAAAAGTTGTATTTTGTAAGTTTCTATGTTGTAATTTAATAAATGGTGGCTATGGCCTTTTCAACCCCAAAAAAATAATGTTCCTAGTGGCTTGTTTTAAGAAAAAGGGGAATTTGGTTGGGTGGGGGAAGGGCTTAATAAAAAGTCCACACAGCTGCAATCAGGGGTGTATTTACCACAAGGCAAACAAGGCACTTGCCTAGGGTGGCATTTTTCAGGGGGGCAGCACCTTCCCCCCCAGAAGAAGGGATGAAAGAAGGGACACGCGTGCCATAGGAACCAGGTGGGACCTGAGAGAGGCTGCTTGTTGGTCTATGTATAGCCTGACTCTCATTCCTGGGGATGTCTGGAGCTGTGAAGATGAGTGTCTTTCTCTATCGCTGGGGGGACAGTGGAAGGCTCTCCCAGGTGGGGGGCAGGGGTGTTGTTGGTTAATGTCAGGCTCTCTGTGGGTGGTGTTGGTCGGTGTCCATGGGGGCAGATGATTTTTGTGTTATGTAGGGGAGCACAATACCTAAATACACCCCTGGCTGCAATACATAGCAATGCCTTAGTCATGTATCTATGAAGAAGCAGGTTGTCACCCTAGGCTGCTCTTCTGGTTTGGACTACACACTCCTCCCCTTCCCTTATCTCCATTACATAGGGAGATGTTTTGTAGTTCACAGAAGGGAACTGAAAACATGTTTGAGATTTCAGTTCAGGTCACAAGAAGGACACTAGATTTCCAGCAGCATTAATAGGTATGTTTGTGTACTTGCAGAAATATATATTATCCATCTTTTTTTTTCCTTCAGCCACTTCAAAGAAGTTGTCACCAACTCTGGATTTTAACCCTTGCCTGAACACAGCCTGCGGGAAGCCTGCTGTCCGGCCTCTAGTAGACACCGGTGCTATGGTGTTTGTGGTGTTCGGAATTCGAGGGATAAATCGGACCAGGATACCGGATAACCATGTACTGGGTGAACTGGTAGGGGAAATAATATCATTATCTGGATACAGAAAACCTGATTTATCAAAATTGCCAGTAATGGTAATCTACTTCATTGTCTAGCTGTGGTTTCCTATTTCAGTGATTTGTGTTGGATGCTGTAAGGCCTTACTGCTTTGTATATACACAGGAGAGAGAATAGAATAGCACAAGTAGCATGAAAGTCCACTTTTTTTTGGCCACAGAATTAACAGCAAATATCTAATGCGTTTCGGGGGGCATTGCCTGTCAACCTTCATCAGGTCTGAAGATATAGTTAAGTAACAATCCATTTGATATCACTGCTTGGTAGTGCTGCCACATTTGGAAATAGCCGTTCAGGAGGGGAAGGACACAAGCCTGTGCACTAGGCAATGATGAGGCGCTCATCATTGCCTAGTGGACCAACTGCAGCGAGCACAGGCTTGTGTTCTTCCCCTCCTGAGCGGCTATTTCCAAATGTGGCAGCACTACCAAGCAGTGAGGGGTATTTGACCAGATCTGACCAGACCCACATAAGGATCCTTGATGTCCTGAGGTTATCTACTCTAAATGCGCATTGTGATTGCGTATCTGGTGAGTGCGCAATCTTTACACATCTATCACCTCACCCACGGATCCAGCCATTGGATTTTTGAAGATCATCTGGGATCTTTTTGTACTCACGCTACAGACTGTATTTGGTTTAGTGCCCAAACACCTACTAGTCACCAATTGGTGACGTTTCTATTTGCACCTTGTTATTGAATTTTCATTTTATTGTATTTTATTGTATTTTATATGAGGATGTTTGAATACAATATGTTCATACGATTTAACGGATCATTGTAGCGCTGCACCCTGCTTTATTCTGAATATCCTGTTTTGCACTCCGGTTTTTTTAACTCCACTTAGTCAAAGGTCCAACAAGCAAAATACAGGCAAGCTCAAGAATGAGCATGCTCAGAGTGAGCTCTACAGCAAGTTATATAGTACCTGTATCACATGTGACCAATTAACCCCTCCCCTTAATTAACAGACTGAAGGAAGGCAATGAAAAGAAGAAAAAAAAATGCTATTTAAAAACTGACAGAAAAAGTGATTTAAAAAAGTAAAAGTGTTTAGCAAGATCCAAAGAAGAAAATAAAACAACAACAGGCACCAGCAATCACCAGCAGTCGAGTAAAACTTTTTCACTCTCCACTCAAATTTCCCACTCTTTTTAGCTATCAGCAGGGGCAGACTGACCATTTGAGCACTTGGGCACTGCCGAGGGCCCGGGGTCAGTAGGAGGCCCCATGAGATGCCCCTGGTACCTTTCATTGGCTTTTTCATAGGCTTTTTAGGGTGTGGGTAAGGACACAGGGGCCCCATGATCCCCTATTGCCCGGGGGCCCCATGAGTTGTCAGTACGCCCCTGGCTATCAGCCAGCAAAAAATGTTTTGGAGATAATCATATGCATATTATGATGTTCCCACCCTTCAGCTGGATTTAACCTGAAACAAAATCAGCAATATCAATATAAGTCCAACAAAAGTCCACATACACTATATTGCCCCAAGTATCGGGCCGCCTGCCTTTACACGCACATGAACTTTAATGGCATCCCAGTCTTAGTCCGTAGGGTTCAATATAGAGTTGGCCCCGCCCTTTACAGCTATAACAGCTTCAACTCTTCTGGGAAAGCTGTCCGCAAGGTTTCGGAGGGTGTCTATGGGAAGGTTGGACCATTCTTCCAGAAGCACATTTGTGAGGTCAGGCACTGATGTCGGGGGAGGAGGCCTGGCTCACAGTCTCCGCTCTAATTCATCCCAAAGGTGTTCTATGGGGTTGAGGTCAGGTCTCTGTGCAGGCCAGTCAAGTTCCTCCACCCCAAACTGGCTCCTCCATGTCTTTATGGACCTTGCTTTGTGCAATCTCCCCTCCACCAAACTTTACACTTGGCACAATGCAGTCAGGCAAGTACCGTTCTCCTGGCAACCGCCAAACACAAACATGTCCATCAGATTGCCAGAGAAGCGTGATTCGTCACACCAGAGAACACGTCTTCACTGCTCTAGAGTCCAGTGGCGACATGCTTTACACCACTACATCCACCGCTTTGCATTGTACTTGGTGATGTAAGGGTTGGATGCAGCTGCTCGGCCATGGAAACCCATTATATGAAGGTCTCTACACACTGTTGTTGTGCTAATCTGAAGGCCACACCAAGTTTGGAGGTCTTTAGCTATTGACTCTGCAGACAGTTGGCGACTTCTGCGCACTGTGCGCTTCAGCATGCGCTGACCCCGCTCTGTTCCCAGTTGCTTCCACTTTGTTATAATACCACTAACAGTTGACCGTGGAATATTTAGTCAGCAACCATTCTTTCACAAATGTTTGTAGAAGCAGTCTGCATGCCTAGGTGCTTGATTTTATACCTGTTGCCATGGAGGCGATTGGGAAACCTAAATCCAATGATTTGGAGGGCTGGCCCAATACTTTTGGCAATATAGTGTAGATCTGTGAAAATCCTGTGGTGGGAAAACACCAGCAAGTGTAGAAATTGTGTGCAAGCTAAAAACCCCTACTAAAAGAAATTTGCCTTGGGCACATTCTCACTTCAATACATTGATCCCCATCACAAAAGTCAAATCGCGCACATGTATAGTAAATACAATCCATGAATCTTCAGATGGATCACCCCACATTTTATCTAGTGATGCATTGATATATCGGCCGCCAAAAATGTTCGGCTGAAAATAGGGTTATCAGTGTTTTGTCATTAGAAAAAGAAAAGGTGCTGATTATGACAATTTACTTCAATGCAAAATGGCGTCCTATTTATTTCAATGCAAAATTGCATCCCATTGACTTCAATACAAATTTGTGTCCAATTGACTGCAATGCAAAACTGTGTCCTATCGATTTCAATGCAAAATCGCGTCCTATTTATTTCAGTGCAAAATTGCATCCCATTGACTTCACTGCAAAATAATGTCCCGTTGATTTAAAAAAAGCTTCATCTCATTTGCTAAGCTCTGGAGCAACTGCACTTGCAATGTGCACAGTCTATTTGCCTTTAATAAATTATCCCCATTGTGTGAGAACAGGAAGACACTTAACAGGATAGCAGTTTTCAGACTCTGGTAACACTTATTATGGAAGTTGTCATTGTGTGACGTTTGTTTTTTGCCCTCTTTGTGTCTTTTCCGGAAAGGGCAGGGTGATCTACGATGACAAGTTTGACCTCTTTAAAGAAATCGGTAACCTGTGCAGTCTGTGCAAGGTCATCGCCAGCAACAGGGATTTGGTGAAGCCGGGCGGAGCTCAGTGCCTCCCTTCAGGTAATTCTTTTTGATGCGTTTGGCCTCAAGACAAAAACATATCCTGTAAAGGAGCTGGGACAGCATTTCCTGTAGTTTATTCTGCTTATATTATTATTATTATACAGTATTTATATAGCGCCAAAGGGTTTGCTCAGCACTGTACAGTAGCAAGGGGACAGAACATGAGACAAAACAGTAACAATACAATACACGAGGGGTTCGAGGGCCCTGCTCTTTCGAGCTTACAATCTAGGAGGGAGGGGAAGGTGGTACAGGAGGAGATGGCTGTGGGGGATGGAGTGGTGGGGAGGAGTGGAGGAGGTTAGTTGTTAGGTGAGGTCGGGTGTTAGGTGAGGTTGGGGTAGGCTTCCCTGAAGAGGAGGGTTTTCAGGGTGCGCCTGAAGGTGAGGAGGGTGGGTGACAGTCTGATGGATTGGGGTAGGGAGTTCCAGAGGATGGTGGAAGTCCTGGAGAAGTCCTGCAATCGGGCGTGGGAGGAGGAGACCAGGGAGCTAGAGAGTAGGAGGTCCTGTGAGGAGCGAAGGGCACGGGTAGGGTAGTATCTGGGTATCAGGTCAGTTATGTAGTTTGGGGCGGCGTTGTGAATGGCTTTGTAGGTCAGGGTTAGCAGTTTGAATTTGATGCGTTGGGCAATCGGGAGCCAATGAAGGGATTGGCAGAGGGGGGTGGCAGATGTGGAGCGCTTGGTGAGGTGGATGAGTCTAGCCGCTGAGTTTAGGATCGACTGGAGTGGGGATCGCGTTCGTTTGGGTAGGCCAGTGAGAAGGGAGTTGCCGTAGTCCAGGCGTGAGATGATGAGGGAGTGTACGAGTTGTTTGGTGGTGTCTGGGGTGAGGAACGTGCGTATCTTGGAGATGTTGCAGAGGTGGAGCCTGCAAGATCTAGATAGCAGAATTTTCCCTTCTCTGGTTTATCATCTCCCCCATCTATAACATGCCAATGACATTTCTAAATAAAACTTTTCTATTTTCATGACATACCTTTTTTAGACCCATTGGCATAATCACTGAGTCTCTGTGCTTCTCTATACAATGCAGGCAGATCATGGCTGTGGGAGGGACTGGTAAGGTGCTGTACGTAGCTTCCTAAAAATATCACAGCACCCTGCCCCAGTACTCCTCTTCAGAGCCCTCAGCCCTGATACAAGTGATGGGCTTTACATACAGACTGTCTTAGGCAATGGCCATATGTGAGAGTGAACTCCATGTTGGTGAGAGGTTTTATCACAGAGATCACAGTACCACCCCTGGCAATATCTTCATCTGCTTTTCTCTCCAGGCGTTTAGGCATCATTCGGGGCCACCATCAGGTTTCTCGACTGAGATGTTGACTCAGAGATGACAGTCCTGGTAGTCTGGGCACCTGTGCAGTTCTTGGCTCACAAATGTCTGACACAGATCAGCCTCTGCTGCAGCCTCTCAACTTGTGATCTGTTGCAATGTTGCAGTCTGATCACTGGTGGAAAGGAGACTGAGGAAATGCTTCCTCTTGCCTGCCACAGAAAGACGACATCATCTTAGCCTAGACAAAGTCACTGGATTGGAGCTAAAGGGTTTCCTTTTATTTAGTGGTCTCCAAACTGTGGCCCAGGGGCTAGATGCAGCCCTTTGCATGATTTTATCCAGCCCTTGGAGTATTATTTCCCTCACTGACAGCAACACTGGGGCATATTGTAGTTCCTGCCACTGACACTGACAAAGAGAACTATTCTCCCAACTGACAACAATGATGGGGCATAATTCATCTCATTGATACCAATGATGGGACAGAATTCCTTTCATTGATACCAATGATGTGGAACTATTCCTCCTTCTGACACCAATGGGGAGGCACTATTCCTTTCACTAATACGAAAAATAGGACACTATTACTCCCACTGACATCAATGATGGGGCACCATTACTCCACCTGACACCAATGATAGGACACCATTACTCCAACTGATACCAATGATAGGGCCCTGTTCTTCCCACTGACACCAATGATGTGGCATTGTTTACTCCCACTGAAACCAGGACATTTGCTTATCCCACTGGCCTCAGTCTGCCCCCCTAAAATCTGAAGGACAGTAAACTGGCCTTTTGTTTAGAAAGTTTGGAAACCCTTGTTTTATGGGACTTGGGTCATGACTGATGGATCTTGGGAGCAGGTAGTGTCAAGGGGTGATGTCATGTGTCTTGGGAATAGGTATTGTTCAGGGGGTGGTGTCGTACGTCTTGGGAACAGGTAGTATCAAGGGGTGGTATCATGGTTCTTGGGAACAGGTAGTATCAATGGTTGGTGTCATGGGTGTTGGGAACAGTTAGTGCCAAAGTGGGGGGGGGGGGGGGGGGGGGTAATGGGCCTTTGGAACAGGTGGTGTCATGGAGTGGTGTCTTGGGTCTTGGGAACAGTTAGTGCCAAGGGGTGGTGTCATGGATCTTGGAATTCAAATTGGCAACCCTAGTGCTACTTGGAAGAAGTGCTAACCACTAAGCCACTGTGAAGAGGCAGAGGACCACTTTGCTAATATATGCAGTATATAGGTGCCTGTCTGGAGGGCATGAGTACTTGTTCACAGTTCTATCATCTGATACTTTTTCTTTCAGGGTACAGTATATCATCCTTTCTTCAAATGTTGCACCCCGAATGTAAGAACATTCCCGAGCCAAACCTTCTCCCAGGTCAACTTTCCCATGGTGCTGTCGGTGTAAAGGATGGAAAAGTCCAATGGATCTCTATGGCGTTTGAATCGGTAAGGGCCACAGAGATCACACATATTCTACTACAGGGGCCAATGTGCTAAATAGAGGAATGGTATCCTCCATACTTCTCATAAATGTCCTTTAAGGTGGACCCATTGATATAAAAATTACAAAAAACCTTGACAAGTCCATTGTCTGAATGTGAGCACCTTGAGGTTCTTCGAAGAAACTATATCTATGTTGCAGTCAGCAGTGTCACAAGTTAGCCTGCAGTTTTGTTTGTGTTCTTACCTTCTTGCTGCAGTCCTGTTCCTGATCCCTTCTCATGTGTTTGTCTGTGCTCATCTATGGGCGTCATCCGCTGTTCTCTGGGTTTTATTGCCTTCCCTTCCATCACTTCCTGTCCCGCCTCCATGTCTGCCTCTCTATATAAGATGTGCTCAGACTAGGCCACTTTGCCTGAGCAACGGCTTAGTTGGTAGAGCTCCCACGTGATCTGCTGTCTGTATCCTATATTGTCTACTACCGACCCCGGCTTCGTTCTCCGATCGTTCTCCGACCCCGGCTTCGTTCTCCGACCCCGGCTTCGTTCTCCGACCCCGGCTTCGTTCTCCGACCCCAGGCTTCGTTCTCCGACCCCGGCTTCGTTCTCCGACCTCGCTTGTTTTCCGCCTGTCCTGACCTCGGATTGCCTATTGGATTCCCTTTGTCTTCTCCCGTTATACTCTGCTCCTTCGAGCGGTCTCCTCCACCTCAGCTGGGTGTACCTGGGGGCCGCAACCTGCTCCCAGCTTGCTGCAAGTCCATCCCCATCATCAGGGGCTCTGGTGAACAAGCAGGCTAGGGCTTAGGCTCAGCGCCCTGGGGAACCCCAAGTTGACGATCTATAGAGCTCACTATTACAGGTGCTTACAAGCAGCTTACTAAAACACCAGTTCTTCCCAGCTGTCCCCAATTGCAATATGGGTATCTCTCCATTGGCTGTTGAGACACTCATTGTATTATGGGATGGTGGGATTGCATGGGACTAGACTATAGACTGTTACCTGTGAACCATCTGAAAAGCCTGACCCCTTTAATGAGCTGCTTAGTTGATGGGAATAGCCCAGGAGAAAAATTTCAAACCTAAATCCCTCGACATAAAAAGAGCAGAGCTATTCGATTGAAATTGATTTTGCTGGAACAAGTAATCTCATATTCATATGTGGAGCCCCTTAGGCAAAATTTGCTTAAAAGAAGAAAAAACTCCTATTTTTTCTGTATGTAGAGGGTATGTGTTTTTAAAGGTATTTAGAGGGTATGGATATGCTCTGGATACTTTAAGCCTTTTGTGGGGGGTTTTCACATTTGTGTGTATTAGATCAATAATTGTGTGTGTGTTTTTTTTTACTTTACTTTTTTCCAGTCTATTCCTATTGTTGTCATTTGGTGGAAAAAAGGAAAATTATGAGGCTATTGATGGGCCATTTTTTGGTACAACAACAGGCCTGGAATAATCAAAAGGAATCTCCTATACCCTCATGTAACATTTAGAGTGGTTGTAAACCCTTATATACCCAGTGAAGTAACTGGCCTCGGGTAATACACAGAGATTAAACAAATTCTCCTACATAAGTTGTACCTGTCTATCTGCAACAATCCCTCTTCTGCAGCTATTTAAAGTGGAGAATTCATGCAGCTTGTCTGAGCTTTCAGAAAACAGGGGCAAATAGCTGAAGTTACACTCCGCAGAGCTGAGTGAGAGCTGATTGGAGGGAATGGAGATACCCACATCACACAGAAACAGAGCTGAGGCTGTCAATCACAGGCTGAAGGTCCCTCCTTTGTCAACTTGTTACCTCATGGTGTTAGGAAAACCTGTCAGAAGGGACACTGATAGCAGAGGAAAGAGGCAGCAGACAGAAATGACCCTTAGTGTTTTTGGATTGAGACAAGTATACACCATAGAGGGATATACTTTGTCCATATTTCACGTCAGAGGTTTACAACCTGTTTAAGCCCATTGCACCCTTTAAAACCACACAAAAAAAAACAGTTTAAAGTGTATAAAAACCATGAATCTATTTTTCAGTATAGGCTGCCAATCTGACAGACCTGATGGCCAACTGAAGAAGCTCACATGGCAAGTTTACATTGCAAGGTTGTTGTTTAGCATCATCAGCCTGCTCTCAGCTTTCCTTTTGTCCCCCCAATTACAATATTTTCAACATTTTACAACTCAAATATTTTATTTGATCATATTTTTGCCAAAATTTCAAGAAAATTAAACATCTCAATTTTGCTCCTCCCTAATCCTGGCCGTAGTCCTTGTTAGATGCTGTTTAGAAATTGGAGGAGACAATGAGTGTTGTTATATTCCCCTGTGTTGACTAAAATTGGGCAATCATCAAAGGTTTTCATGTAGACGGTCAGGACTAATTTAGTCCAGTAATTCCTATTTCTGTGGCTGATTTTATAAACATCTCCCTTGTGGCGAGGACAGTCTTCGCTTGTCTTGGACACAGAACCTCAGCTCCTCGCAGTCTGAGGTTTTTACCTGTTGGGTTATTCATATATTCATTACGATTTCATGAGTTCCTCCAGAAGCCCTGTATAAGTAAGCATAACAAGATTGTTACCAAATCCTCCAGCGTCTTCTGTAGGCTAAAAATAAAACAAGGACGAGCATGGAAAAACCACCATTCTGGTGACCCCCAGGTGCTTTCCTGCTACACGCATGTATAATGAATGATTTATCTTCTCTCACAGACCACCTACAAGGGCAAATCGTCTTTCCAGACATACAAGGACTATCTGAAATGGGAGTCTTTCCTCCAACAGCAGCTGCTGCGTCTCCCTGCGGACTCAGCTCTCAAACATGGATTTCAGACCTGCGAGCACTGGAAGGAGATCTTCATGGAAATTATAGGCAAGTGATAGCTACCATAATGCTTTGTGTACAACCTACCTTATGGTGCATTTTAGTGGCTACTGGTGTAAAGGTCATCTCCACCAAAACTATTAGTTTGCAGTGGGTTGAATCACAAGACTCTGGACAGCTCAAGTAATACATAACTAACTCTTTACCTCTGTTCTCCACTGCATTCAAGAGATATTTCTGCCTGAAGAATCTTCAACATTGGACACTTTTATGTGGGTTGGATGCCTGGCTTCTCTATGCATTCTGTGCTCCCTCATGCCGACCCATATATTACTACAGGACAAAATATTGGTGTAGGTGCTGGGAGAAGGAACCACAGCACACAGCACTCAACACACACACACACACACACACTGTAGACCAGTATTTCTCAACTTTTTTAACGTGGAGGAAGCCTTTAAAAAAACTTTTTGGTCTCAGGGATAATGATAATTACCACGTCTTCAGCTCACAGTATAATAGTATGATGGTCAGTGGGAAGAATGTTCCTTATAATGGTGATCACTGGGAATAATACTCCTTACATTCATGGCCACAGTGAGAAGACTCACTCCTTACAGATTTTTTTAAAAGATCAATTGTATCAGTGGGAACCTATCTTAAAGGCAGGAATTGCTCATTGCTCAACGAACTCCTGACAACCGCTGGATGAACTCTAGTTGAGGCTGCTGTAGACTCTTTAGGCAGAAATATTTCTTGAATACAGCCGAGAACAGTGGTTCGGGCAGAGAGAAAGACAATAACCGACTCTTCTTTTCCACGCATTTAAAAAAAACAATTCTTTTGGGGGTTGATTAGGTCACTTTAAAGCAAACATTTTCAAGCAAGAGTGCAGTGTGCTGTCCTGCTGGCGCTCAGGGGTAAGGAAGCTAGCGCCATGTTTCACTCATCCAGAGGTGGCGATAGAAAAGGTTTGAATGCCAATCCGATCCATGTTGATGTATGCAGCGGCCTCAACCAGTGCTGCTCCACTGACCATGCCCCCTCCCACTAGGGCTTAGTCAGAGTTACTAAGACTAGGGTTCCATGACCAAGCTCCAGTGGGTGGGGTGAAATGCGTCGGAGGTACGATCAGTGGAGCAGCGCTGACTGAGGCACATACACCCACATAGACCGGGTTTGGCAAGCAGTGTTCTAAACATTTCCTGAGAGACATACTTGAGGTGCCATGGCCAGCCCCCTTCTGAAGATGTAATTTCTGAGACCATATAATTGGCATCATGCTTAACGTCTTGACCTTTAATGTTCATGTTTATCTTTATTTTGTTTGGGGATGATGTTCTGTACTATGATCCAATGTCTGTGGTGTTGTATTTTTACTTATGGACCACTTATGTTTTAAACATCAAACATTTTGTAATAAAAGTGAATTATTTTAGGTCTGTTGCACTACTTTTCTGAGAGACCACCCAACTCTAAAATCCTCCATTCTGGATTTGGGCGGTTTATCTGCCATGGTATGTTTATGATACTTAAATGCAGCAGAAAAAGTATCCTGCTCCTCCAGACAGGGCTGTTCTGAGTGCCAGATCTGTGTAAATCTGTGGACTTAAATATAAATTCTTTGGCAAGTAAAATAGCTGATATATATACAGTGTAGGAGGAGCAATGAAGGTGTCATTGCCGGAAAGTGACCCCAGACCACTGAAGGAAAGGTAAGTATTGTGGACTTTAGTGTAGCTTTAAGTGAATAATATGAAAAAATAGATAAATAAATTAAAAAAAAATATATATATATATATTTATGTTGGAATTCTACTTTAGCTAGTGTTGAAGATGTGAAGACTATTACTCTGTTCTGTCTTTCAGGAGTGCAGAGCGCTTTGTATGGCTTGATTCTGTCACTGGTTATCTGCGTGGCGGCCGTAGCAATCTTCACTACACACATTCTGTTGCTCCTCCCGGTGCTTTTTACCATTTTAGGTACAAATACAATGGCTCCATAATGCATTTATATCTGCTGCATAATATGCCATCTCATGAAATCACTGTTTGCCTTTCCGTTCTGTTGTGTTCAGTATTGCACATTGTCCATTATCGGAGATGCTTCATGCTCTGTTAAGGCTTGATGACCTCCAGGATGAAGTCTGAGACCATCAGATGTGGAATCTGTTTAGCCGCAGCTTGAACAGATACATTACACTCATTAGAAAATTGAATTTAGATTTATCTGCAAGCAGATATAGGGGGAGTGAGCTTGTATTGCAGATGTCTATTTTGAGAAAACTACATACAAAGAAAATACTTTAAAAATATATTGAGAGCTGAGAACCAATTATATTTCATACAGGGATTTGTAGATTCTCTCTCAATCTGCTGTCTGTATATCAGACTGTGCAGTCAGCTATGGGAGCTTATGCAGGGTGATAAGGAAATCAAAAACTCACAATGAGGGTTTCCAGCATTTATTTGGTATAGAAAATTTACAAAGTAAGAGTAAACATTTGAGAAATTAACAAGCAAGGAGATCCTCAGACAAGTGAAGAGATGACCTGGTCCCTTCACCAATTTTTTGACCTCCGGAAGGTTTTACCCCCTTCATGACCAGAGCATTTTTTTGCTATTCAGCACTGTGCTACTTTAACTGGCAATTGCTCAGTAATGCAACACTGCACCCAAATGAAATTTATACAAATTTTCTCACACAAATAACGCTTTTAAGGTTTTGTTTTGATTTTTTTGCCATATAAATGAAAAAGACCAAACATTTTGAAAAAATAACCAAAACAAAATCTACTTTCTTCATAAATTTAGGACAAAATATATTCTACTACGTGTCTTTTGTAAGAAAAAAAATCCCACATCTAACACTGCGTTTTTAGGGACACGATACTATTGAGGACACTAGTATAGTTATGATCATGATCAAGATCCGTACAGACACTGTTATGATCCGCCAGGTGGTACCTCTGGCAACCCACCGGACGGGATCTCCCAGAGCGTGGAGTCTAAGTCCCGGTCTGCGTATTCACCAGGGCCCCTGATGGTGGGGATGGACTTGAAGCAGACCAGGACCAGGTCACGACCTCTGAGCAATCCCACCCGTGGCAGAGGGGACCACAGGGGATGGATACAGGAGGAGAGCCTGATGTGAAGAGACCGGCAGGCCCAGTCAGGATGGATGGATGGATGGATGGATCATAGTCAGATAGGCCAGTCGTTACCGTGGAAGCAGCGAGGTACAGAATCGGCAGGCAAAGGATAGTCGGGTCACACGCAGGGTCAATACCAGGGAAGTCAATCCGCAGAGAGGTCAGATAAGCCAGGGGTCAGGATAGGAGAAGGCAGCATAGTCAGGGCAATCCGGGTCAGATAGGAGAAGGCAGCGTAGTCAGGGCAATCCGGGTCAGTATCAGCAACAGAATTCAGAGTACAGGAACACAGGAAAGACCTCACGGCAATTTGTGACAGAGCAGGGCATCTTTAAATACCGCATCCTGCGCAGTCATTGGTTGCCCAGCGTGTACTCGCAGCGCCTACTGCGCATGCGCGAGTCTCCTTCAGCCGCAGCCGGCCGGGACCTAGTACCCATATCCCGGCGCGAGCCGCCGAGACTGCGCATGCGCCGGGACAGACGCCGCGGCGGACCCTGACAGACACTATACTAGTAATAGCAGTGATCAGCTACTTATAGTGTAATTATGATAGTGGCAATCTGGCACTTACTGACACTGGCTGGGAGGGACACTAACTGACAGTGACGCCGCTAATGACACTGGCTGGGTGACAGGAGTGATCAGGAGGGCAATCAACGGCATAATTGTGTGCCTAGCAAAGTGTATGTGTGCTGCTTTTACTCACAGGTTCTGGCTGGGTCACTCCTTTCTTTCAGTTCTGAATAGCAACTAATAGCAGGGAGAAATCCAACTAGTGTTATGTTTACAAACACACAGATCTCTGTGCTGTGATTGGCCACAGCTGATCAGCAGGTATACAGCCAAAATCATTGGCTGTAACCTGCTGACAAGCTTCAATCACAGCACAGATCAGCAGGGGGCTCATCCGCGCTCCTCTAAGCCAGGAAGTTCACAGTAATCTATGGGTACATCACAGTGCCTGGAGAAGCCTGCTGCTAGCAGTGAATGTACTGTTGGCGATCGGCAAGTGTTTGAGCTCCAATCCTGGACTGTAGTCATGTACAGTTAGGTCCATATATATATGGTCACAGGCACCATGTTAGTTTTTTTCAGGTATTAACCAAAACATATTCAAGCTATAGTTATATAATGGATATGGGCTGAAAGTGCACATTCTCAGGTTTAATTTGAGGGTACATACATCCAAATTGGAGGTAGGGTTTAGGAATTACAGCTCTTAAGAGTGGCCACCCCCCTTTTTTCAAGGGACTAAAAGTAATTGGACAATTGAATCAAAAGCTGTTTCATGACCAGGTGTGGGCTACTCCTTCATTATTTCTTCATCAAATAAGCAGGTAAAAGACCTGGAGTTGATTCTAAGTGTGGCATTTGCATTTGGAGTCTATTGTTGTGAACCTACATCATGAGTTCAAAGGAGCTGTCCATGCAAGTGAAACAGGCCATTGTAAGGCTTCAAAAATGAAACAAATCCATCAGAGAGATCGCAGCAACAGTAGAAGTGACCAAATCAACAGTTTGGTACATTCTGAGGAAAGAAGAATGCACTGGTGACGTAAAAAGGCATGGACGTCCACAGAAGACAACAGTGGTGGATGATAGCAGGATCCTCCCTATGGTAAAGAAAAACCCATTCACAACATCCAGACAAGTGAAGGACACTCTCCAGGAGGTGGGGGGTATCATTGTCAAAGTCTACAATCAAGAGAAGACCTCATGAGAGCAAATACAGAGAGTTCACCACAAGGTGCAAACCATTCATAAGCCTGAAGAATAGAAAAGCCAGATTAGTTCTGGAAAAGCAATCTTTGGACGGATGAAACTAAGATTAATCTGTACCAGAATGATGGGAAGAAAAAAGTGTGGAGAAGGCTTGGAACAGCTCATGATCCAAAGCACACAACGTCATCTGTAAAATATGGTGGAGGCAGTGTGATGGCATGGGCATGCATGGCTTCCAGTGGCACTGGGTCATTGATGTTTATTGATGATGTGACAGAAGACAGAAGCAGCCGGATGAATTCTACAGTGTTTAGAGATATAGCCAAATGCTGCAAAGTTGATTGGACGGCGCTTCACAGTACAGACGGACAATGATCCAAAACACACTGCAAAAGCAACCTAGAAGCTTTTGAAGGAAAACAAGTGGAATGTTTCGCAATGGCTGATTCAATCACCTGATCTCAACCCAACTGAGCATGCATTTCACTAGGTGACGGCAGAAAAGGCAGAAAATGGCAGAAAGACCCACAAACAAAGAACAACTGAAGCCAGCTGCAGTTAAAACCTGGCAAAGCATCAGAAAGGAGGAAACCCAGTCTTTGTTAATGTCCATGGGTTCCAGACGTCAGGCAGTCATTGCCAGTAAAGAATTATCAACAAAATATTAAAAATAAACATTTTATTTATGATTATATTCAATTGTCCAAATACTTTTGGTCTCTTGAAAAAGGTGGATGGCTGCTCTAAGAGCTGTAATTCCTAAACCCTTCCTCCAATTTGGATGTACATACCCTCAAATTAAACCTGAGTGTGCACTTTCAGTCCATATCAATTATATAACTATAGCTTGAATTTGTTTTGGTAAATACCTGAAAAAATCTAAAATCGTGCCTCTGTCCAAATATATATGGACCTAACCGTAGGATCTCCTGCACATAAAATGTTACATATTCACTCATTTGCATAGGAATTTGCAGACGCAACACATTATTAATTGCAAGTTCCTGTTATTTTGGAACATCTCATTGGCTTGACCACAACCCAGACTCTTTCTGTAGACTGTATGGGCTATTTGTCTCTCTACATTGCACAAGACATTCCAACAACAATTTGTTCCAATCTGGAAAGTCATTCTAGCAAGCAAACCTAATTTTATACAAAGAACCTAAATTTAGCATATAAGCACTTATTGTTGTGATGTGATTATTAGTAAAACATATAATAATAAATTTTTCTTTATCAAGGCATAAGGACTTTCTGAGTAGCCAGTTCCCAACTGGTAGCATGTGAGAGGAATGGAAGTGAGCCACTTGCTCCTCCATATAATTGGAGCAGCAATGGTGGAGCAGAACAGCGGAGGAAAGTGTATGTGTGGAAAGTTTGTGCAGCTAGGTTGACCACCATTAAAACAAATGTGTTGCTTTGTCCTGCATGGGCATCTAAACTTCCCTTCCTTGGCATACCCTACTGGTAAAGCTGGGCAGACCTGGTTCTGAGCCACATGGCTGCTGACAAAGCTAAGGTAGTACTCTTAGCTGTTCAGAAAAAAAGACATGGACACCATTTGTATTCTCTTTCTCCTCTTGTGTTGCAGGTGTAGTGTGTCTGGTGGTAACCATAATGTACTGGCTGGGATGGGAAATGGGAGCGGTAGAGGCCATATCCCTATCAATTCTGGTTGGCTCATCTGTGGATTACTGCGTCCATCTGGTAGAAGGATACCTCCTCGCGGCAGACAGTGTTCCTCAACATCTCAAGGAGGTAATTAATTGGGTCAACCTCAACACAACTCTAGAAACCAAGCTCTATAATCTATATGTATCAAGATTTTACGTACTACACATTTTATTAAAAGAACAAAATAACCAAGTTGATGCACATGATAGCAAGACTACAAGAGAGTAAATACGGTTTGCTTTACAAAATAGATTCGCAGTTGGCGAGGTGGATACAATATTACAAACAAAACATCAGTGCCATCTGTTACAGTGAAGGCGAAGTATTGATAGTGAGATGCTTAAGCCTGTGTTAGGAAGACAAGCTATCTAGAGTGGTAACCTTTCTCTGAATAGGCGAGTGGAAGCATATAAGATTCTTCTGACATCTTGTATATATGAAACTGCTTTAGGGAAATTAGAAGAAGAAAGAGAGATAAGGGATAGAGCATAAAAAAAAAAGAGGTAGCAGTATGTAATCAAAGGAAGGGCATGAAAGGCTATAGATATATTAAGAAGAAAGTAGTGGGAAGATTGTTGGGAATATTAAAGAGCACTGGTTGGGGAAGTAAAAAGGGAGGAAGGCTTGAGACTCCAGGGGAAATGTTGGAGTACATGCTAGAAAAAATCATCCTCATTGTCCCGTATCTAGTCTAGGTCTGTTCTCTTCTACGGTATATGGGTTGAAAGAGGAGATTCCTACGGGTATTTAATAAGTCCAAGGAATTAACATGGAGGTTAAGAGCAATATATTATATTTATAGTTCAAGGTTAAGAAAGTCCAGTCAGTAAGTTTCCACTTAGAAAATAAGAAATCAATAATTAGTACGAGGATTTACAAATTTAAGGCCAAATCTTTGTTCGTTTTCCAGTCAAATATCTCTTTATTCAAAGGTTTTTGAGGTACATAGGCTGATAAACATCAAGGAGAAAACTGTTTTTGTACCACATATAAATCTGCAGTACAATCAAGTATACAGTAATAGGAAGAACACTAGAACATTGGAATTGTCAATGGATTCATTGTTCGTTTTCAATCACGGTGAAAAATCGAAGGAGCAGGAAGAAAATTTTTCTGGAACGAGATTTCTAACAAAATGTGTTTTTTTTTTTTTTTCTTTTTGTTAAATGAAGTCCATTCATTACAAAATCAAATGCTAAAAGCAAACAAAATTTTGAAGTACTTTTGAACAACGTTCTTCAAGGCATCTAGCATACTGAGAAATTTTGTAAGGAAATCTACTAGTGTGTGGCCAACATAAATCCCTGTAGCTGTAAAAATTGTACACTCTGGTGTTCCTTGATAGGGCGTTTCTAAAGCTTATTCCAGATCCTTCCCATTCTCAGTTCTGTAGATAACGAGACATACAAATCCATTGCTGATTGGTGGGAGGGTCTACCATATTCACATGGTCATTACTGGTATGTGATAACAATCATTACATTCCCCCACCATCTACTGTATTTACAAGTACCTCACCTGATTCTCGCATCAGTGTAGTATGGGGTGCAGACTCCTGGGAAACCAAGCAAGACAATGGCATCAGCATGGAGGAGAGGATTCTGGGAAGTTATGTCCATTATTGACTACAGTTCCAAGAACGAACATTAATGCTGCCAGTTGCATTTACTGGTGAAAAGAGAAAACAATTTAACATTACAACATGGCTCATATAGCAATTTTATACAATATATCACATTATTTAATTCAACGAGAATTTTACTTATCTTTCACTGTTATAACTCTATATTTTTAAAAACCTATGATCATTCTCAATATTTAAATGCCATTATTCTTTATAAAACATATACATTTTCCTCTAGTGCTCCACTGTAGTTTTATTAATTTGATAAAACTTTATATAGCAATGAAACCTATTTTAAAAGCTTCAGTGAAGGGTTAGAATCGCTCTTAGGTTCTTATCATTGTCTGTATCCTGGTTACAGACACAGACATTGTCTCCTCTTGGTGTGTCTTGTTGTCACTGAGCCAGAAATGAAAATCTTACCAGTGGGGACACATGCAACAATAAACACCTGACAGAGGTTCCAATGAATGAAAAATTTGCTGGAGACCTTTAAAATGGTTGCAAAGACTGAAGATTTTTTTTTGTATTAAGGTAAAAAAAATCAATCCTTTTGCATGCTATCTCCCCCTTATACTTACCTGAGCCCGATCTCGATCCAGTGGTGTGCACAAGAGCAGAGGCTGTCACAGCCTCTCTCAGAGAACCATTGGCTCCTCCTCAATCATAGCCAGTGAGTGGGGGGGGGGGGGTTGAGCCACGCTCTGTGTGTCAAAGGACACAAAGGAAGCTCGAGAGCAAGCACGCACAAGTGCCTCCTTTCCAAGCAACTTGCTATGGGGCACTCAGTGGAGGGAGAGGAGCCAGGAGTGCTGGTGGGGAACCCAAGAAGACGAGGTTCGGGGCTGCTCTGTGCAAAACCATTGCACAGAGCAGGTAAGTATAACATGTTTTTTTTTTGTTTTGTTTTTTTTAATGATCCTTTAGAATTACTTTAAAGTAGATGTAAACCCTACCAGTGTTAAAGGAATGTGTATTATAAATGACCAAATCTTCAACTTTTTCCGCCACTTCCTGTCTACATGCATTCACTCCAGTACCAGCTGCACATCATTACTCTGTACAGGCTTCTTGATGGTGACCATTAACGGTGGACTATGCCTAGACAATGGGGTTGATTTACTAAAATTGGAGAGTGCAAAATCTGGTGCTGTTCTGCATAGAAACCAATTGGCTTCCATTTTTTTTTTTTGTCAAAGCTTAATCGAACAAGCTGAAGTTAGAAGCTGATTGGCTACCATGCACAGCTGCAGCAGATTTTGCACTCTTCCATTTTGGTAAATCAACCACAATGTGTGTTGGCACAGTCACTAGTGGTTTCCACCAGGCTTTTAACGAGGTGACAACACAGGAAAACAATTGGGAGACAGTTGTCACCCCCTAACAGGAAGACGCTGGACAATGGCAGGATCATATGTTCTATACAACATAATCTATACAATGGCATAATGTTCTATACATTCATAATTTAAAGTTTTTATCACCTACATCTAAAGGTCATAAATAATAGCTGTACCAGTTTCATGGTTTAGGAACTGTACCTGGTCAGCAGCATGATGTAGGAACAGCCCAGCTGTATGTCCTACATAGCGGGTACCAGGGGCGGACTGACAACTCATGGGGCCCCCGGGCAATAGGGGATCATGGGGCCCCTGTGTCCTTGCCCAAACTCAAAAAAGCCTATGAAAAAGGTACCAGGGGCATTTCATGGGGCCCCCTACTGACCCCGGGCCCTCGGGCATTGCCCGAGTTTCCAAATGGTCAGTCCATCCCTGGCGGGTACTAAAGTTCAGTAACAAATTTTGATTGTATCTCTTACCTCTTATTTCAGGACCCAACTGCCTGCCGTCAATGGAGAGTCACTGAGGCTGTTCGCCACGTTGGTGTAGCCATCGTCTCCAGCGCCATCACCACAGTCATAGCCACCATCCCGCTCTTCTTTTGCATCATCGCTCCCTTCGCCAAGTTCGGGAAGATTGTTGCGTTGAACACTGGCATCTCCATCGTGTACACTCTGGCTGTGAGCACAGCACTGCTCAGTATGATGGCGCCCAGCACCTTTGTCAGGAACAGGACTTCCTTCCTCAAAGCCGCTCTGGTGGTCGTCCTTTGCGCTGCCGGGAGCTTTTGTGTTTACATGGTCTTGCTCAAAACAGGGTTGACCATCCCCATTCTCAACGGGACCCCGCCGTAGAGCAAAAAAAATAATTTTTTTAGACGCGTTTTTTATATACACAATTTTTTTCCTCAATGGTGGGTATTGTCAGAAGTGAACAAAAGCAACACACTGTGTTTTCTTTTACGACAAATGCACTTTATTTTATTGTTCTCTGATGCATACAACAGCAGATGGGCCAACAGGAGCTGTGCAGATTAATGAGGGGGCAGAACCTTTTGGCAAGTTTCTCAATTCATGGAAGCATTTGTGGCCTTAATAAGTGCTAGCAGTCTAAGATTAATGGACATTACAACGAAAGAGTGGCTTACTGAATTTAAAGAAGTTCCAACCAAATCTAAGAATTCAGTGCTTGAGTATTCAATGTAGACGAACATAATTCAAGCATTCTCTGTGTGCTTTCCATGAATGGTAAGGATTTCATGATGATGCTTCTCTATCCCCAATTGGCCTCTTGGTCTAATTAATTAAGGGTAACACATTTAATTTCTAATTGTAATGAAAAGTATAGCAAACTTTAATGGTCCTCCTTCAAAAAGTTGACTTATGCTTGAAAAATGTGTATAAAATTCGCAGCAGTTAATCAGTTGGGTTGAACTCCAGGAAAACCGCTAAAACACAGATGAAATACTTATATTGGAGACCTGATTTTGTTCTGTTACAGTTAAGCAACCTAGGTTTTACAGGTCTTGTCCTTCTCCCTCTCCCAGTCTGAGCTTTCCTGTATGAGGGCTGCAAAAGGCTGATACGTAGTCAAATTTGGATACTTACATTGCTTTCATTTAAAAATACATTTAAAGTGGTTGTGAACCCTTCCATATACCCAGTGATATGACTGGCCTCAGGTGATACACAGAGATAAAAAAAAATCCTCCTACATAAGTTGTACCTGTTTATCTGCATCATATGTCCCCTACATCCATTCAAAGTGCAGAATTTACACAGGATCGCTCAGCTCTAAAAAGCAGGAGTCGTGGAGCTAAAATTACATCAGTGAGGAGAACTCTGAGAGTTGATTGGACGGAAGAGACACCCCCCCCCCCCCCTCCACACAGCATGCAGGAACAGAGCTGAGGCTGTCGATCACAAATTGTGCCCTCCCTGTCACCATTTTTCTTTTGGTGTCAAGAAAACTTGTCAGAAGTGACTCATGTCCTCAGCAGAGGAAGAAGGCTGCGGAAAGAAATGACACTTAGTACTCTGGATTGAGACAAGTACACACTATTGAGGGATATAATTTGTTCATATTTCTGTTTGAGGTTTACATCCAATTTAATAATTCAAGTATTCAAGTTTACAAAGCTGTATTACTTTGTGTATTTTATATTTTCCTGGAGTTCAGCTTAATGGTAAAACTGTTAAGTAATCCTAAGCCAGAGAACAATTCTGGATTTGCGCACAGGCCACACTATAGCTATAACCTCATCCTGTCCATGTCTTGTAAAGTCCTGTTCTATGTGGAGTGCCTGGGGTGCGATGATGACGTCTTTGTTTTTGTACAATGCAAAACTAGGAAGTGGACCTGGTGCCATAGGATCAGCACTGGGGTCATCACATGGCTGTTGGTGAAACTTCATCTAAAAATATTTTATTTCAGTTGTTCTGTGGCTGTTGGCATTTTGAACAACCCATGTGCTTCTCCTAAGCTTCAGATGCTGAGACAGTAAAATCTCTGCACCTGAGTTCACAGCATGACCCACCAATGGTGTTCAGTACAAAGTTCTCCTTTTGATACTAAAGAGAACACAACAACAAAAGGTGCTCCAGGGAGTTACAAGCGGTTACTTGTTAATATCAGCCAACAGCCACCCAGAAATCAGTTTTACATTGCTTGATGCTGTAATGCCTAACTTCAGTCAACATATTTTTTTTCTATAGTATGGAGAAGGGTTAGGATCTCTGCCAGACTTTTATTCCTAACTGCATAAGCTGTAGCAAGTGTGCCACACCCAAAAAAAAGATGATATTTTATTATATATAAAGAAGAATAAAAAAAGCCAATGCATTTCAGAGGAATACTCTCCCTTCGTTAGGACTTGAATCAAATATCTCCTCAAATATCACTGGACTTGACTGAATTTAAAAAATAATTAAAATTCAATACACAATAATAATATCATACAATAATAGAATTTAAAAAATGATTAAAATTCAATACACAATAATAATATCATACAATAATAGTTGTCATTCTACTGAATACCTAATAAAATATCATCTTGGACTCTTGACCTATGGTTGTGGTGCTCTCATTACTGCTTCTGTAGTTGGACTTTGCTCAGGACCCTTTGGGGATTTTTGATACTTGTGAGCGGCCTTACCAAAGCGAGCCACATTGATCAATGAGATGGAGTTTCACAAGAATACTGAACATTAATAGGAGATCTTGCACCTCTTATGCATGTACTAGGCTTATGTTACTGTCTGTGTTTCTGCTGGGGCGACAACTGTCACTGTAACAGCTTGTCATACCCTGACACATAGGGTGTCATAGGGTGACACCTTTCTGAAGAGAAATATCCCCATATGGACACAGACAATGGTAGAACACTCCCAGAGGTTATAACCCTTCTCTTCTTTCTACAAAACTAAAAACCGTTTTGCCTGGAGTTGGGCAATAAGTTGAAGGCAAGGTGAATCTTTGATTTTCCTGATTTTTTTCATTGGGCATTGAATTTTCAGTATTGGATGAAATTTTTTGAAAAAAGAAATTGATAACTACTAAAGTTCAGCTCACAACCAAGGCCCTTTCCAAATGCAGTTAACACAGCTTCTGTACAGACTGGATTTTTCAAAAAGTTTTAAAAATGTGTATCGTCTATGAACCCTCAGGAAGGGTGTTCTATCTAAATGTTCTTTAAGTTGACATACATTGGTAGACAAATCTGTAAGTGATGCAACACAATTTTTACTCAATTTTTATGCACATGTTGATACAGGTACAGGTTTGAAGGCCAAGTCTGGAAAAATATTCTCCAAATCAGGTCAGGCTCCAACATATCAAATCACCTAGTGGGTTCTTATATTTTTTTTGGACTCTGATCCCAAGATATATTTGCTAGAATTATTTGTTCTGTCTGTGCTTCCTCTACCTTGAAATTGTGACTATTACTGTCATGTTTGGGTTTAGGCAGAGTGAGGTAGGTTGCCACTCTGATGATCCTCGATTCACCCCATAGAGTAACATATCATGATTGTCACTAGAGATGAACAAACTTCTGAAAAGTCTGATCAGTCCTGGTTCCACCAAACTTTTTTGTAAAACTCAAGAGCCTCGGATTTTCTGGAAGTCAATAGGTATCCAAATAGTGTGTATCTTGTGTATTTTGCATTAAAGGATGCAAAATGGTTTGGGATGCTCCTGATGAGATAACGGGACCACAAAATTGAATACTAGTATAGATGGGTGGCTCTGGCAGTCAAGCTAATGGTGCTCAGGCAATTGTAGAAGCAGATATAAGGTAGAAGCAAGCTGAACCATATGGGAATTTGGACACCAAAATAACACTGAAATTCAGACCGGGACATCAAAATTCATGACATTTTATCTTATTCCAACGGTGTCCAAATTTCAGATCAATCAACTCTGGCAAATTACAGTTGGATTAAGAATATATTGTATGCACCCTGAGAACTCTATAGATACCTCCATGGCCAATGAAAAATGTAACCTCGCCAGGTAGCCTATAATAAACAAAGGTTGGCTGAAACTAGGCTATAAGAGCCAAATACTCACCTCTCTCACTGTCTGTGCCACCAAATGGTGCTATATGAAAGGGAAATTTTCCTCTGAACTCTTCAGAAACCAAACCTCTAGGAGTGTTGATCTTCTGGTTCTTCCTGCTGAACTCTATTCCACTACTGTGTCCTGCAATGACGTGAGGTTCAGTAGAAGGAACCTATGAGTGTAACAAGGGAGCAGGAGATGTTTAGAAGTGTCAAACACTGAAAGTTCAGAGGAAGATTTCTTTTTAATGGAGCAGCTTTCTGTGGTGTCTGCTTGAAGGGATAATGAGGCTGAGAAATGGAATCATTTGAATGCAGTCTGGGAAACCAAGAAGACGCTCCTAGCAACCATGGCAGCTTTTTCATTTTCCCCATAGGGTTGACTTACAGTGATTCCAAAGGTTTTAATTGAAAAAAAAAAACATGTTATACTTACCTGCTCTATGCACTGGTTGTACACAATACAGCCCCGATCCTCTTCTTTTTGGGATACCCACTGGTGGCCCTGACTCTGTCCTGGTGGCCCTGGCAAGCCTTTTGCTATGGAGACATTTGAGCAGGCTCGCTCCTGAGTCACAGTCCTGTGAATGGACACTGTCCATTTACACACAAAGCGTGGCTTGACCCAGCCCCCCACTCTCTCCTCATTGGCTCCCTGGTTGTGATTGACAGCAGCGGATGTCAGTGGCTCCTGCTGCTGTGTGAGCCAATGATGAGAGAGAGACAAAGGAGAGAAGTGGATCTCATGCACATCACTGGATCGAGATGAGTAAGTATAAAGAGCGGCTGAGGAGGAGGGAGTTGCACCCAAAAGGTTGTTTTCCTTATTTGCTAAGAATGCATTAAGTTAAAAACCTTCTGCCTTTAGAACTGCTATATACTGGGACTATTATAAAAGAATTATGAATTCTATGATTACCTAAACAGTAAATCCACAGGACAAGCAAGACAGTCATTGAATTGCCAATGTCTAATCCTATCAGGTTTATTTTTAGCTACATTTGACAAGGATGGCCATGACAAAGGGAAACAGCATGATTCCTAAAACAAAATAACTAGCTGATGGGCCATTTGAACAACTGTGGCTCGGTCAACACACAACATTTTTGAGTAGACTTGGCCTTTAGGAGAGAACCCATGTCTTTTTTCTCCTTTTTATTCTGAGTATGCGGTTTTCAAAGCACCGTTGATTCACTTTTATGATAACTGTGCTTTTTTTTTCTATTGCCGTGGCACAAGACTTGGAAAATGTACAATCAAATGTTATTATGTGTGAGCTGGTCAGCAATTCT